GTGTGTGTGTGTGTGTGTGTGTGTGTGTGTGTGTGTGTGTGTGTGTTACATGATCCAAGTGCATGACCTGAGATACAATAGTTGCAACTGCCTAGTAGTTTTCTGGTATCTTATCAAATCGAATACAGCTATACTACATTTGATCACAATAATTATTTGCAATAATTCCTTATTCTTGGCTAATTCGATAAACGAACGAATCTGAACTCTTTCTTATACACTTCCACGGGCTATATATACTTACACGACGACCAGACCCAAAGTACTGTACGCTCCACACGAGTATCGACACACGTCCCTTTTGGCTAACATCTCGCTCTGTCGGATTGATGGCCGATGATTGAACGCGGATTGATAAAAATTTGCACGGACCAGCTTATGTGTTTGTTTGGCAAACGAACGTGTGAAGAGGGGGCGAGTGGGCGTTGTTCGTGAGGCGCTCTGTTCATCAAGGCCCGTTTCTCGCTCCGTAACAACCTCTTTCATCGAGCTCCTCGACAGCATGCATCAATGTAGCACTCGCCAGCTGCGAGCCAGCTCATTGTTGCGCTCACAAAACATTTTTCCTGCCTCCCCATCGCACCTGTGTAACTCTGAGTGGGGTTTGCATAGCCGGGGCCTGGGCCAACCGTGGCAAACTGGGATGGTGGTGACGGCACGCTATGTGCTCAGCATGTACATGTAGGACGATGACGACCGCGGGAACAGCGCTAGTCCGAGCGATTGCACGAGTGACATGACTACTGGCGGGTTACATAAAACACCGGGCCGGATTAACACGGATCAGAACCGGAACGGACCGAAATAAAGCGTTGAAACCTTGACTTTAGGTTTAATTCAACTCTATAATTTTTTAAATGTAAATGTTATGTTAGCTCAGAGTAGGAGGCCTATGTGCCTGACAGGTGTTGTTTTACCTCATCAGTGTAAGCTGTGTAGTGAAGTAGTCGGTTTTTAAAATATATTAGAAAGATTGCGTTTATTTTATTTTGTTAATTTAAAAGTTAATTTAATTTGTAATTTTTGAAAATTTACTTACATATTTAAGTGTAATGTATTTTTATGATATGTGCATGAGTAATATAAAATGTAAATGCTATGAATGTCAAATTAATTTGCTTCAAACTACTAACGGAATTACACTCGAACCTACCTAGGAAATATTCTAGAGATCTCATGACTGATGTAACTCTATCCAATTATAAATTGTACTGGGCCCGAATCGCATTGTCACTCTGGCAACAAACCGTGACTCGATTCGCATAAATCTGTTAGCTGGTATATATATGTGTGTGCGTGTGTGTGTGTGTGTGTGTGTGTGTGTGTGTGTGTGTGTGTGTGTGTGTGTGTGTGTGTGTGTGTGTGTGTGTGTGTGTGTGTGTGTGTGTGTGTGTGTGTGTCGTGCGGTGTGTTGTAGTGTGTGTGTGTGTGTGTTGGGGGGGGGGGGGGTGATGCGCGCATGGAACTCTGACATTAGTATATAGCTTACTGACATATTATATAGCGCAATAAACTTGCTCCAACGGGCGCGAGAAGTATAAGAGAACAGTGTTGTCAATGTGACACGTAACTGTCTTATGTGGATGTCACTCAACAAAAACTATATAGACGCGAGGTTTAAAGAGAAAATGTTGTATAAGAGCGGATGCAATTGTTGAAAGGCGTAAAATCTTTATATATCAATATATTCCTATTAGCTTAAGTTTCTATGTAATATAATGCTAGGAAATTTTTCTAGAATGGAGAATGGTAATAAACAACGAGCAATTAATAATAATAAATACATTTATATTATTGTAATTGTAGGTATTGGCCACAACAAGTTCTAGCATTGCTGAATTCCTGTTCTGCTTTGTGAAAAAGGTTGTTGCCAGTGGTCACGATCTTCGGATACCACCGTTGTGTTGATGTTGACTTGGGTTTGTCCCTACAGCTGACCGGAGCGGCCTTCAATCAGAAAGAGAGAGGGGTAGAAGAGAGGGCGGGGAAGGCAGAAAGGGAGACCGCGAGATCGCGAGATGGATCCACTGGACGTGATCCAGTCAACTTCAGCGGAGAATCTTGCCGGATACTTTCACCATCTCTAAATATTATTATAATATGCACCCAATAACAATATAATTCAATGGCATATTTCACATGTGCGACCCACGCATATTTTGAAGAAACGTTCCACGTGATCAACAAATATCCAACTGTCCTGTGGTTTCTGTAAATAAAATAAAGCCATAGGCTAGCGACTCGATCGTCATGGGTGGTAGCCGGGATTACATTTTTAACTTTTACAATTAGTTATCGCTTTACGTACATCTGCGACAATGCTCCGACGACTCACACAACAGCCGCATAGCATCTAGATAGTCCACATAATAATATAGTTCTGAAATCTCGTTGGATACACGCGAGTAAAGATGTCGAATCATCTCAATTACTGCTTGTCTAACGCACGAACACCGGCAAAAAACTGTTGGTAAACATCTTCGATCAAGTTACTCGCATTCTCATGTACGCCTCGCGCGATGATTATGGATGCAACCGACGCCCCTATAACTCAAAGATTGAGATCCACCGAAAAATCAGTAACGCGCATCAAAACTGCGTAAGTCATTCGTTTTTGCTGCCTAGCTGCGTACGTGTGACGAAGAAGTTTGGCGTGCATTGAGTTAGAACGCGTTCTAATGCGTGATATACTGACCATGACCAGTAGCAATATGCACGAACATCCCTTACTACTCACATCATATGAACGCGTAACTATAGGCGCGGAAACAGTTCGATGATGCTGTACCCTACAGTAAACCCTCTCTCTATACATCTCTCTTGGAACACGATATACCAACAACGATGTACCCTTTATGCTCTTCTTCTCACGCGTTGACGAGGCAATACTTTTCCAAGGCTTTTTGCTAATTGACCAACAAAGCAGCGCATAGTCGCACTAAATTGAAGTGCGAAGATACTCGGATCAGGCACTGCAGCACAATCAGCGAACACACTTCTTTCGCACCAAACCCTCGTCGCTCTCCGCGATTGGTCGAGTCGGCGACTCGCAGCCGACGTTGATTGGTGCGTGCATGGCAACATCGGTGTAAGTAGGCACGCATTACGAGCCGGTGTAAACGAGCCTTTTCAGTCGACACAATATCATTTGTCTCCAGCGCGCGAGTCGTCACGGTAACATACTGTGACTCGAGGTAGGTGGGGGACCGACAGACGAAGCTGTGGAGGCGTACGAACGATACGTAGTGCGAAGTGTGTGCGACAGATTCGGACGCCAATCGGACATATTTTCGGATATCTCTCGAAGCCATGGCCAAGCATCGTCTGCTAGCCGTCGGCGCTCTGCTCGTGTTCACCTGCGGCGTCGCTCTCGCTCGGCCGACGATCGAGAACGAGTCGATCATCAAGGCGCAGGCTGTGGATAAACTGATGCGGATATTCGGCATGCAGGGCAAGGGAAGACCGGTGGCCGACGACACGCGCGACGCCCCGCAGTACATGCTCGACCTGTATCGCACCGTCGTCGGCGACGCTGGTGTTATGACGACGGCCAACCCGTTCGACGCCAACGTAGTACGCAGCTTCACGGCTCAAGGTAAAAACCGAAACGAACCCAATTAGCGTGTAACGCAGCCGATGATTCTCGCTTCACTTAGTTAAGATATCACGTTGGTAAGAGGCGAAGTTGGTGCTGGCGTCTGATAGATTAACTTTGCTGCTGGCTAATCCCTCTGCATTTCCATGAAAAATAATATGCAAATGTTTTGCCGAATTTGATACAATAATGTGCTGACACATCACTGCGAACATGAAACTGATAAGTGCGCACGTACGTTCCTACATTCCTTCGCATGCAGCTAAACTGTATTCCAAAAGGATTTCGATGGTATAATATTAGCGATTACAACGTTAAAAAAGGAATTGCCGAAATGTTTATGGCGCTATTTCCGACTGCATGCGAAATGTTAAGTCTCTCTCGCGATTGATCACGGTGATTAAATCGACGTTTTCGATATGACTGAAAGATTATTTTTGGATATTGCGGGTGGATCGTTGCAGCGATCCTCTAACGCCGTGTACACTTATCTGATTTATTAGTAATCTGCAAACAAATCTTATATAGATCGTGAAAAAGCTATTCATGATGGATAGCAGGTAGTTTTTTTGTTGGGCTTGTTAAGTGCAGCGAGTCAAATCCAGACGCAATCGCATTTACTTTTAGGATATTAAAGACATGCGTGTTATTCACGTTCTCTCTCTCTCTCTCTCTCTCTTTCTCTCTCTCCCCCCTCTCTCTCTCTCTCTCTCTGCCTCTCTCTCTCTCTCTCTCCTATCTCTATCTCTCTCTCTCTCTCTCTCTCTCTCTCTCTCCTCTCTCTCTCTCTCTCTCTCTCCTCTCTCTCTGCCTCTCTCTCGTGCCTCTCTCTCGCTCTTCGCTCTCTCTCTTCTCCTTTCTCTCTCGCTCTCTCTCTCTCTCTCTCGTCTCTCTCTCCCCCCCTTCTCTCGCCTCCCCTCTCTCTCTCTCATCTCTCTCTGCCTCTCTCTCGCTTCTCTCTCTCATCCCCTCTCTCTTTCTCTCGCCTCTCTCTCTCTCTCTCTCTCTCTCTTTCTCTCTCTCTTTCTCTCTCTCGCTTTCTCTCGCTCTCTCTCTCTTCTTTCTCTCGCTCGCTCTTTCTATCTATCTATCTGCTCTGTCGCGGCATCTCTCTGTATCTCTATATTCACATTATCCCTCCCACTCGCGCGCACTCTCTTCTCTCTCTCTCTTCTTTCCTGCCCTCTCGCTTCATTTTCTCCTTCTTTCTGCGGGCGTTCGCGCGTGCGTGTATGCCTTATGCGTGCTACGCGTGTATGTTTTCATATCACTGTGCTCGCACGGCTGAAACACTAGCTGCTTTCTCAGCGTACACCTTATGCGAGTGGAAGAGGAGGCAAAACTCTGGAGAGGGTGTGTGTGTATGTGTGTGTGTGTCGTGTGCTGAGCTCCCCCACGTCGTATCATTCAGCAAGCGGCGATAAGACGCGAACGCCTCGGACGCGCTCACAAATGCCGATGTGTGCGGCGAGCGCGTGGACAGCTGCGAGAAGTGGTTGGTGAAAGAATCACGCGTAACAATCTGCTAATCTATTCAAATGCGCACGCTGTGTAAAACAGCACCTTGTGACGGTGGCAAGGCGCGGCCGATGCGTGCGCCCGACCCAGCCTCGTCAACCACATCGACGAATATTACGTGCTCGCGCCTCGAAACAGCTCGGCATGACGGCGTTTCGCCGTTTGTTTAGAGCGTGGCTGCGCCGTTGCGGCGCATCTGCGCGCGAACTAGGGATAGCCTTAATTACTGACCTCTTCTCTTACGGCGCGGTGCAAGGTCTTTTGTCACGCGCGTAGCTTTTGTAGCGGCGCCGAAAGCGCCGTTCGACGCGGAATGCAACGCTACGCCACCACCGCGAGCGAGAGTCGACACGGAAATGCTTTATGCTCGTTTCCGTCACTTGAATCGAAGAGTGTTGGACGCCGCCGACGTGTCGCTTGAAATTAATCGGGCAGAGAGTAATTGTGAATGTTAGTAGTAGCAGGGGGAGAGAGCAATGTATTCGCGCCACAAGCGCTCTTAATACCAACAGCCGCGGTGCTTAATATAGGTGGAAGATGGACTCCCGCTCTGCACTCGGTTTGCATCGGGTGGCCAACAGAAACGCACACGGTATAGAGGACCTAACAGTGGACGTTTGTGGCCTCACACTCTCGCCACGTTGCGTCACAATCACGCGAGTGAGATCACAGCGATGGCCGCGGGCGTCACACTGATGCGAGTGACGTCAGCAGGCACTTCGGACGTCTCATAAAAAAAGGTAAATAAACATACGAAGATGCAGTTTACTACCAAGTCTAATGTTTCTTTACTTTGGTTTCGCCCATAATCACTGTAAATGCCGTCCAAATGCTCATCTGCAACACACGCTGGCTGTCGCACGCTAGCTGCTGCACACAGACACATAAATAATAGGTGAAAGAGAGTAGAGAAACATTAAGACTTTGGTAGTAAATAGATTTCGTATTTATTTAGCATTATATTTTATTGAAACGCTCCAAGTGCCTGTGAGTGACATCACACTGATTCGGGTGATCTGGCACTGCAGCAACGCGTGCCCACTCCGACGACAATACGTTGTTAGTAATCGTGATTGTGTTTCGCTTGCAGGTCGTGCAGATACGCTGCATTACGTCTTCAACACGACCAGCGTCGTGCCCGCAGAAAACGTGCTCGGAGCCGAGCTGCATCTGTTCAAGCTGAAGCCGAAGCGCGAGTATCGGCAGCGCATAAGACCTGGAGATCACATCGTCGAGGTAAGCATTCGCTGTTTTCATCTTCCGCCGTCGCCATCTCTTCCCGCCGTCGCTCATGCCCCGCGCCCTGTCACCAATCGCATGGCTTCACTCCTCGGCGGCCTCCAACCACTCACATCACTAAGTTAGGTTAGCTCCCACACCCAGCACGACACCTCTCAGTGAACCTCGCGATTCCTTCCAGTGTCAACCCGATTGTGAAGTCCCTAAAACGCAGCGTGAACGGCCGTAGTAACTGCAAACAACCTCTCGTGCGACGACCTCGCTACCTTCGCTGTCGTTCTGCCACAACTTCACCTATCACGCACCGTTAAACCCTCAGTAGACAGTTTCCCTCTGGTTAACGCTGCTAACTCGCGTACGCGTGCTCAACCCCTCTCACACGGCAGTAACTCAAAACCAGTCACTACACGCGGTTTAAATGCCCCGAAGGTTTCGTCACTTACATATTCGCTGTGGACAGTGCAGCACTATATAGCGCATCGAGTAGACTTCCGCTTCAGTGCAGGCGCCATAACAAAATCTAAACGGATCTGTAATTTCTAACTTTCTATTCTGCTGTGAGCGCAAATTACCAGAGACGCCTAGTTTCAAGTATGATCGTTTCACTAAATCGATCATTATAGTATGATAGTATATATCATTATAGTATATCATTATCGATCATTATCTAAATCGATTATTATTAGTGAAAGCGAACTTCATCCGAAACGATTACGTTTCACGTATAATCATTGTTCACTATTTCCTCATCATTAATAATTGACATGGTTAATCATTTCATGACTGCGAAACGGGTAATCATGGTTAATCATTTCATGACTGCGAAACGGCTTCAGTGATTTCACCGCAAATTACGTTGAACGATGTAAAAACCGCACTAGCCGCATATAAGCACGTGCGCACGAAACAGCAATCAATTTTGAGAAACAAGTGGGAAGCGGTGCAGGTGCGAGTGATCTTTTGCTGGTTGCAGATACGCGTCTTTCAAGTTAGGACGGACAGCAATAGATTGCTGGAGGCAAGACGAACCAGCTTGTACTCCGTCGGTTGGGAGGTGTTTCACGTCACCGAGGTTGTCAAGGAGTGGCAGCAAGACGGCCAGTCAAATCAAGGTAAGTGTCACCTTTACAACGCCTATGCCGCAGCAGCTGCGATCGTCTGCTCATTATAGAACGCAGCGCCATCTATAATCCCCTCGTGATAATAATAGCTGTGGGCGCTGTTATGTCTCTCGCTCCTCATGCGGATATCTTCGCGTTTCTTCGTAAGTTCAGATAGCAGGAAAAAATCGCCTCCCTGAAATGTAATCGAACTCAAAAATAGTGCATCGATTTACAGTGTTTTTTCTCGGTTGTAGGTATCGTCATCGAAATCGTATCACTTAGTGGTGACGTTCTACCGTCGACGCTACTCCGGTTTGCGAAGAGAAGGGAGCACAATAAGGCAAGGCAGCCTCTGCTTGTCGTGTTCACCGACGACGGGAGGCCAAGAGCGACAAAACGCGTTCTCGGTACGTACATGTTTGTTGCTAGCTACTGAACGCCAAGTACAGCCGCGTTTAGTGGCGTTAAGATCTTTATTGAAGTAATGCCATTCGCGCTGTCTGCGTAGCCTGTGCACCTTGCTTGCTTGCTTGAACGTGCTGCGACGACGCTCACCCATTTAACACACATACATTCCCACAAACGCTCAACGTGTGATGTAACCCACCTTCTTCAGCTTCGCCTCCAACTACAGTCTTCCAGTCAGGCCAACCTCCACATTCTACCCCTAATTACACAGCATGCCCTTCTTCTACGCCATTTCTCTGAACAAAATTAACACTCGATATCCTACCCCCGATAACAATAACGATAACAATCCATGCGTGAACACGTAACCACTATTACTTAAACTTCTACCCCTCCGGACTACCACGAAATCTATAGCCCTAAACACCATTACACCCAGCAGCCTGTACAGAATTTTATTGGCGACGAATAATTCTTTCACGACCAATCCTACATGCTCCATTACTGCCCACAGCACCCCCATGGACGTTAACAACGCACCGCCCCTACTCCACCTTTGCCATGATCGTCATCTTCAGCCGATGCTGACGCATTCGCGTTTGTTCTTCCTGCAGCGAACGCGAGCAATGACATTTTTCATCCGAACGCCCTGATGACGAGTAGGGACAAGCGTAACTCGGAGCCAGTCGACTACGCGCCACTCAAGAGCCAACACGAGGCAGACGACAGTCCGTGCGCGCTGCGCCCTCTATACGTCGACTTCGAAAAGATCGGCTGGTCTTCGTGGATAATTTCGCCGAAGGGTTACCACGCGTATCACTGTAAGGGTCAGTGTCCCTTCCCTTTAGGAGAGACCGGTAACCCAACAAATCACGCAACGGTGCAGAGCATCGTCAGTGCGCTGGGACTGCACGATGGCGTCAGCGCCCCCTGTTGCGTACCCGACAAATTACATCCGATAGGATTACTTTATTTCGACGAGGATGAGAACGTAGTGCTGAAGCAGTACGAGGACATGGTGGCATCAAGCTGCGGCTGCCACTGAAATAAATCATCCGATATTTTTTGTTGTTATTTTATGCATCGCGTGTACAGACAGAATGTAAATATTGTGAATCCAGATTTTTAAGATTGTTATCTATGTTCATATATTACGTGTAAAAAGGGCAATCTCGTGGTAATAGTAAGTCACGCGTAGTGGATTAGGGCCGACTATCTACGGTAATCTTTTACTGGTAACACGAGCTAGACCGATTTCAAACCATTTAGAAAACGACGTCTATCACACATTTCTCTGCTTTTATGGTGATTAAGATCACAAAATCTGTTGGCAATTTATCGATAGCGCCCAAGAGCGTATAAATTCTCTAACATATACTCCTCAGCATAGAAGACTTCATGTCCTCTGAATAGCGTGTGAAGAGCGAACTGTTACTGTACAGAAAGGTTGTAGATTATTGCGTAATAGCGAGAGCGATAAGAGTTAAGTTATTTTGTAAATATAGTATAATATTTTCTTGCGAATGAGAATAAATGTGATGAACTATGAACAATTGATCGCATGTTATATTTATTTCACTCGTGTGCAAAAATCCACGAAGAGACATGCAAAACTGAAGAAAAAAACACTCAAAAAGTGCTAAAGGTGCCTTCCCGTGCCACTGCTAGAGATAATTTGTAAAAAAAAAGATAACGGTAAACCCCAGATAAATAGTTACTTTAAATGACAAATGATTATTATAGCAATAAAAAGAAAAACTGTACGAGCAGCATGTCCACACTACATGAAAGGAAGTCGTAGTCGTGGCGCGTCGACTACGAGCCTAGATGTGATTTCATTGATTTCGCATGAGCGAAAGCTGTTACATTCTCGGCAAAAATGAAGCACGAAAAATGCAAATTGCTGTTAATAACTTGGATCCCGTTAGTTATAATTATTAGGTAAAACACTGGTAGTGGGCTATACTTGTGCTTCCTGTGCACATAGATGTAAAGAAATAAAAACAACCACAACATTGAAACGGTACCTGACTAACAATTGTCTGACCGTATATATATATATATATATACTTGACAATTCATGTGGGAAGGCACCTTTAAAGACACGCATATCGGTCAAATGCAAGTATCCGTATAAGATCAATAAACTCACGATCACATTGATAAATCACACCGGTGTACGAAAAGTAGCAAGAAAGGTTACGTGAAATTTATCAGCACGGTAAACCATTTAGAACGTTCGCTACCGCATTGTTCACTGGGTATTAAGTAAATGCAACCAAACTACAAATGTCGAAGAAAAAAACCGATAATGTCGGCTGACTTTCAAAATCACGCAGCCGTCGTAAAACAAGTAGAACCGCATTACGTATGATTACCGGGAATTTTCGGCGATTACACTAGCCGCTAGATTAGTGCCTTCACCCGGTAGTCTTTCAATGGCGGCTTCCCGCAGACTGGTCGCGTAGTAGACACGAAAATGTAGCATGGAGAATGACAAACGTTCAGTCTACGCGGTGCGTGCGCGAATACCCGCTGTGGCGTGCACGCGCCCTGTCGATGCTTCTATTGATTCTTCCTCATCATCGCACCTATCCGACGTCCGCCCTCGGAGAAAAAGGGGAGAAGAGAGAAGAAGTCGATGAAAGATTTCACGCCGTACACTTCGACGTGGATATCACAGGGACGACCTTATCTGCGTTAACTCGTGTGCATTACCCTCGACATCGCTGCTCACTGGCTCGTCGCGACTGCCGCAACATCGGCTCCGCATTACGCATGCGCGGACGCCCTGGTGGCAAGTCGACTCGGAGTTTCCCGTCCTGCGGCAGACGCACTCCGGAACAAACGTCGGTAAGAATGTCAAGTACTTTGAGCAAGCGTACTTCTGAAACTGTTCGCTGAAGTGCGCGAGGCGATAGACCTGCTCCTGCAGCGGTGGAGTATCTATCGTCGAGATGTCCGTGCCTATGCTAATTCTGGTCGCCTGGCCTTCTAGTATGCTGGTAAGCTGAGCCGCCCTCACCACGGCGAGGCTGTCTTCCGAGTTTCCTGCAAGTGTGGTTTCCATGTTAAAAGCGGCGCTTGTAACACTCACTAACCTAGATTAGCCTCACTTGTCATGGACAGACCATTAGCCTTAAAGTAGCATAAGTGAGTGGACTAAATCTAACACTAATTGTTGTGTACGTGTGTGTGTGTGTGTGTGTGTGTGTGTGTGTGTGTGTGTGTGTGTGTGTGTGTGTGTGTGTGTGTGTGTGTATGTGTGTGTGTGTGAGCTCCCCCCACGTCGTATCATTCAGGCAGCGGCGATAAGACGCGAACGCCTCGGACGCGCTCACAATGGCCGATGTGTGCGGGAGCGCGGGACAGGCGAGAAGTGTTGGTGAAGAATCAGCTAACAATCTGCTAATTATTCAATGCGCACCGTGTGTAAACAGCACCTGTGCGGTGGCAAGCGCGGCCGATGCGTGCGCCGACCCAGCCCTCGTCAAACCACTCGACGAAATTACTGCTCCGCCTCGAAACAGCTCGCTGACGGGTCGCGTTTGTTTAGAGGTGGCTGCGCCGTTGCGGCGATCGCGCGAACTCAGGGATAGCCTTAATTACTGACCTCTTCTCTTACGCGCGGTGCAAGTCTTTGTCAGCGCGTAGCTTTTGTACGGCGCGAAAGCCGTTCGACCGGAATGCAACGCTACGCCACCGAGAGCGAGAGTCGACACGGAAATGCTTTTATGCTCGTTTCCGTCACTTTAATCGAGAGGTTGGACCGCGCGATGTCGCTTGAATTACTCGGGCAGAGGTAGTGAATGTAGTAGTAGCAGGGGGAGAAGCAATGATTCGCGGACAAGCGCTCTTAACCAAACAGCCGGGGTATAAATCATAGGGAAGATGACTCCGCTCTGCACTCGCGTTTGCATCAGGGTGGCAAACAGACCGACACGTGTGACCTAACAGTGACGTTTGTGGCCTCACACTCTCGCACGTTGCGTCACAATCACGCGCGTGAGATCACAGCGATGCGCGGGGCGTCACACTGATGCGAGTGACGTCACAGGCACTTGGAACGTCACAATAAAAAAATAATGGTAAATAAACACGAAATGC